CTCGGAATCCTAATTTAATTTTATATCAATGCTTCCTTAAATCTTTTCTATTTTTTTTTCGTAATCTTGCTAAATCTGACCTAACTCTGAAATAAAATTCCTCCAAATTTTTCCCGGAACCTTCTCCAGAACCCTATTAATTTTAACCTAGCTCTGCACCAAAGCCTCCCAGACCTTCTCCGGAATAAATTTCGGTAGTATTCCCAACAGCCGCAGCATTGTATTTTCACAAATCTTTCTAAAGCGTGCTCCGAAGCCAAGCGCTAGAAACTGCTCATTTGGGCTTCCGTCAATTAAGTTACACAAATCTTGTTAAATCTGACCTAATTCTGCACCAAACAAATCTCCCAAACCTTCTCCGGAACCCTGTTAAACCCGACTGAGTACTGTATCAAAGCCTAAGTTTCCCGGAACCTTTTCCGAAGCTTCTCCGGAACCCTATTGAAGCTAATATGGTTCTACACCAAAGCCACCTAACCTGGCTCTGTACCAAAACCTCCCAGACCTTCTCTAAAACCTTTTTCGGAACCGTAATGAACCTGCCCTAGCTCTGTACCAAAACCTCCCGGAACCTTCTCCGGAAACCTATTGAGCCTGACCTCTATGAAAATACCCCTTGGTTGCTCCTAGGGGGGGTCCAGCCCCTGAAATAGTAGACCCCAGTGGCTGTTTTCCAGAGGGCCTGACCCCCCCATACCCATTTTGAGCATTTCTGAATGGATAAAATCTAGGGGCCCAAGTCTAGCATTCATAAACCAAAGATTTTTGCTAATACTCAACTTGGACAAGGGAACCAATACTTTGGAGCAATTTGGACGTTCCAAAATGGTCAAAGGTCAGGCCCCTCAAAATATTTTGGGCATGTTGGGAATATTTTGGACATATATTTTTTATTTGTGAATCTTATGAAACCATGGAGCTCCTGGATTTTAGCCATAGTTCTTTTTCCCCCTGCATGCCACAGATAAGTTGGCCATTTTGAAAGATTCTTAACAGAAATAAAATAGACAAACATGTCACAACTAACTTCCCAAGAAAACAATTTTTGCATACCTTTCATGCCAGTTGTTTTTAGAGGGATTCATCATTCATCTATCAAGGTTAGCGGATACAAATGTTATTTTCAGGTTTTCCCTCCAAGCTTCAAGAGCAAAGATTGGATTCGGTAGCCTTTTTTGGAATCAATTTTAGTGTTTGTCCTTGACGTGCGGGTTCAAAAAATGGATTTCAGTGAGGAGATTTTGTTCTAGATTTGTTTTTTTATAAATATGATAAAGGTAAACATTTCAGCACCGTCCCAAATAAATAAATTTAGTGCAAATTTTTTGATGCTGATTTACAGAGGGGTTGATATCTCAAGGTTAGGAATACAAATTTTATTTCCTGTATTTCTGGCCTAGTACCCTGCTAAGTCGAAGCAGCTATCCGGGAGCTGAAGGTGGACCGGGTGAGACGTTGGTATCCAGGATTTGGTTGCGTATTTTTTGGATCAAATTTAATATTTGTCCTTGATTTGAAAGGTCAACAAAAAATGAATTTCAAGAGGAAATAATATTGACAGAATTTTCGTTTCTGTGGTACAAAAGCTGATAAACATATCCAAGAAATAAAATGTGCACCTTTGGTTGATGCCTGTTTTACAGAGGGGTTCATCTATCAAGGTTGGGGACATAGATTATATTTCGTGGTTTTTTCCTCCAAATTTGGGTCCGCTAGATCGAAGCAGCTATACAGGAACAGAAGAAGCACAGGATTTGGTAACCTTTTTGTTTGGGTCAAATTCAATCTCTTGACCTGAAAATTCAAAAACAATAAGGTTTCAAGGTAAGGAAATATTTAATAATTAGTTTAATAAATATAGCAATAATGTTCAATAAAATAAATTTCATGTACCTTTGTTATAATTTGATGTCAATTTTACAGGGGATTACATCAATCAAGGATGTTTTGTTTTTTCCTTTCCAATTAAAGGTACAGGTTGGACCTAAATTAAAAAGGCTGACATCTAAAAATAAGATAGGAACCAAATCTCAAATAAGAAAAAAAAATAGCCCAACCTTCCAAAAATAAAATCAAGGTGCCTGACCTGAAATTAGAATAAGATAAAATCCAAGGGCTGGACCCCCCTTGGGTCCTCTTTGGAAGCGAGTACCCTTGAAGTGACCTATAAGGGGTTTAGCCCCTTGGAATTTATCTCCCAAGTATAATCGAGATAAAATTTAGCATGTCTGCAGATAAAATCAAGGGACCTATCGTCATTTTTACTAAAAAACTAAAAAAATAGCCATGCACCCCAGTGGCTGGAGCTCCTAGGAGCAAGCATCGGGTATTATGAAAGCCTCCCATACCTTTTCCGGAATCTTAACTTGGCTCTGCACCAAAGCCTCCTGGAACTTTCTCCGGAAATCTGTTGAACCTGACTTAGCACTGCACCAAAGCCTCCCAGACCTTCTCCGGATTTTTTTTCCGGAACCCTATTGAACTTGACCTGGCTCTGCACCAAACCTCCCGGAACATTCTCCGGAACTTTTTTCGGAATCTTCTCGGGAATCCTATTGAACCTGACTAGTTTTGCACCAAGACTTCCTGGACCCTTTCCAGAACCTTCTCCGGAATCTATTGCTTCTGACCTGGCCCGGCACCAAAGCCTCCCAGACCTTCTCCAGAACATTCTCCGGAACCGTGTTGAACGTAACCTGGCTCTGCACCAAAGCCTGCCAGACCTTCTCCGGAACCGTCGGAGCCTTCTCCGGAACCTCGTTGAACCTGACCCGGCGCCTGTACCAGTACACACCGGAGCTATTCTGGGCTGAAAACTCCATTAGTTTATGCTATTAGGGAAAAATATCAATATCAATATAATATTATAAATATCTATAATTTTAAATTATAATTTAAAATAAATCGAATTTTTATTTAAAATAATTATTCTTATATTCCCCAACAGCGTAAGCTAATGGGGTCTTCGGCTCAGAATAGCTCCGGTGTGCACTGGTGCAAGCGCCGGGTCAGGTTCAACGAGGGTTCCGGAGAAGGTTTCGAAGAAGGTTCCGGAGAAGGTCTGGGAGGCTTTGGTGCAGAGCCAGGTTGGGTTCAATAGGATTTGCGACCATTTCATACACGGAAACCCAGCTGAGGTATTTCCAGCACTTGCCTTCGCCGCACGCTTCAGAAAGATTTGTAAAAATAAAACGTTGCGGCTATTGGGGATAAATTTATTTTTTAAAAATTAATAATAAAGTTAATAATGAACACATATATTATTAATTTATTATAATTAATATTTAATAAAATAATTTTCGGTAGTATTCCCAATACCCGCAATGATATATTTTTACAAATCTTTCTGAAGTATGTTGCGAAGCCAAGCGCTGGAAACACCTCAGGTGGGTTTCCGTGCATGAAATAGCCGCAAATCCTGTTAAACCTAATCTGGCTCTATACCAAAATCTCCCAGACCTTCTCTAAAATCTTCTCCGGAATCCTCTTGAACCTGACCTGGCTCTAAACCAAAGCCTCCCAGACCTTCTCCGGAATATTTTCCGGAACCCTGTTGAATCAGCCTGTTGAACCTGATCTGGCTCTGCACCAAAGCCTCCCGGAACCTTCTCCAGGATTTTCTTCCGAACCCTGTTGAATGTGACCGGGCTCTGCACCACAGCCTCCCGGAACCTTCTCCGGAACCTTTTCCGGAACCTTCTTCGGAACCTTCTCCGGAACCCTGTTGAACCTGACCTCGCTCTGCGCCAAAGCCTCCCAGACCTTCTCTGCATTTTTCCGGATCTTTTCCGGAACCCTGTCGAACCTTCTCCGGAACCCTGTTGAATGTCAACCTGACCTGGCCCTGCACCAAAGCCTCCCACCTTCTCCGGAATCTTTTCCGGATTCCTATTGAACCTGACTTGACTTTGCACCAAGGCTTCCTGGAACCTTCTCCGGAATCATATTGAACCTAACCTAGTTCTCCTGGTTCTGCACCAAAGCCTCTCAGACCTTCTCCGGATCCCTGTTAATCTATACCAAAATCTCACAGACCTTCTCCAGAACTTTCGGAACCTTCTCCGGAACCTCGTTGAACCTAACCCGGTGCCTACACCAATGCACACCGGAACTATTCTGCATTAAAAACCCCATTAGCTTATGCTATTAAGGAATAATTAAAATATAAATTTATGTTTTAATATTAACATTTTTATATATAAATATAGTTTATTTTATTCAAAAATATTAAATTATTGTTACTTATTTCAAACTATTATAAATATATATTTATATAATTTATATTATATATTAATATATATATATATTTTATCATTATTTTAATATTTTAATTATATAATAATAAACAATAATTATTATAAATGTTTTTTAGATAAAACATATCAAATAATCTAACTCAAATATATAAATTACTACTTAATTAATAATATTTTTTGAAATTTTATTTCAAAATTATTAAGCATTTAGTCTCTATATATATAATAATAATAATAAATATTAATAATAATAACAATAATAATTATTATGTAACAATAATATTTAGATATACAGAGGTTGCTGTTCGGGTCCGGCGGAGACCACTGCGATCTAGAGCTTGCAGTTGAGGTCCGGCGGAGGAGAAGAAGGAGGAGGCGGGACAAGTGACATAAAATCTAACAACCCTCGCCTGACAGGTGGGGAACCATATATCTATGTATAATAATTCATTTATATAATGTGTATGTATATATATATATTCCAATATATCTTTAAATTTGAATGCCTTCAAATATTTTGATGAGAAATGTATCATTATTTGAAATTGATATAGACATAGAACTTTAATATTTTAATATGTTTTTTCTTTTTTTTAAAGCTATGATTTTTGACGGTGATTTGTATCTGCGTCTGTCTTCTATTTCGTTTAAAACGAAACGAACTGGACATGTACCAATATTTTGGGATTTGTAAGTGATTTCAACTGGAAAACTTGCCTTTCCAAAACGCCTCCTCCGGTCCTTTCACTTGTAACGGCTTCCACACATTCCACACTTTTCTGTCCTGGAACAGGAACAAGCTTTGGGGCCGGCCATGATTGGCACACTTCGAGCGCAATCATTTGGTACAAATGAGGTTTCCACCAGACAGAATCAACGTTAACCGACAGGCAATTCATCCCTAATGCACTGATGGTCATCCAAAATTACTGGGAATCCGTATCGTGGTAACTATATGAATCACTGTTAACGGATTGATGACCATCCCACCACATGGACAATTTACCAAGGTGTTGACACTGGCACGTGTGGGGATGAGTGAAAACCCCTACTTCCTCCCTTTAGAAATGGTCCGATAGATATTTCCCTACGACGTATACACACTTCAAAGCACACTGTCCCTGAATGCAACGTGGGTCAAAATGTGGTAAAACATGGTAAAACAATGTAACCCAACCGCACGAGTCGAATGCTCTACGCCATGACAACCGCTCCTGTTGCCAGCAGATGCCCGTGTCACCCGCCAGCCCGTGGCAATCAACGCCTGCGGTGTCGTGTTCGAAATGCTTTTCCATGAAATCACGGACGGTCAGCCTATAACAACAATCCGGTGGGGAAGGCAATAGAATTGGGCAACGAAATGGCATGTCTGGCAGATTGATGGGGCATTCGTTTTTTGGACATCTGTTCGTAGTAGTTGTGCTTGCTTGACACTCATTTTGAAGCCGGGGCGCCCGTTCATCTGCAAGCCACTGAACTCTCATGTCGCACAGCGGGCATGCCTGAGCAACTGTTTTGACATGCTGGTGAACTGTGGGAGGTAGGTTTGAGCAAAGCAATTTATTGAGATTTGTTACGCAGCGGGCATGTTTGAGAGATGAAGTAACTGAGAACCTAGAGGTATGTATCTATAGCCAGAGGCAAGCAACACTGAGCCAAGCAACGCAAGAGTGACTGGAATGATGAACAACAACAAAAACTATGTCAATGATATGAAACTGCGGTCCTAAACCCGAAACAACTCCAATCAGGTCCGCACCGACCGTTCGCTCCAGGCCACCTTCTCCTTAGAGTTTACACGAGCCTTTGAACATCTTTGAACACTCTCAAAGCCACGCCCGCGGTGGAGCAACAGAATTCCCTGAGGTGGAAACAGCGCACTTTCGACACACAAGGCACCTGACAGCGTTGCCACAAGTTCAAGGGATCTTGATGGGCTTCCCACAATTTGAACGCCCGGATTTTTAATGGTATTCAATGTCAAATCCATCTCATCCCAATTTTTTCGGCAATTTTTCCTGGCAAAACCATGCCCGTTTCTCCCGTTGATTAACCTAAAAAAAACATGGATTCTCGCACGGAGATCGGCCGCCTGCAGGGTTGCAATCTGTGATCCGCCTTGGAACTCTCACTGGGGTCCTGGCTGCTCTTTGGTAGGATCATCTTGAACCATCCATTTTGGGGTGTAACCTCAAATGAATAGACTCACCTAGATCTTAATAAATATAATACAATATAGATATATGTATAAACTTATCCATGTCATACCATACATTATTTTGACAAGGGGGTGTGGCACCAAACAGAAATCCTCCAATTTGAGAGTGACTTTGACCTTTCCAGCGTCCACAGCCAGCTGTGGCACCTTTTCTTCCTCGGCATCGGCCAGCGGAGCCACCTTGAAGTGTGCTCCGGCCATGGCACGCTGGACGCTGCTCAGAAGGCGGTTGAAGTGCTCCGCCGTGGGAAGTTGGCCTGGAAGGTGGTTGCCGCGTAATGCACGAGTGGGTGCGTAATACATATTCTAAATATATGTATATATAAATATGCATATCTATATACCTACGTATATATATATATATCTATATGATTCTATGATTCTATATGTATGTGTAAAAACAGATATAAGTATCAAGTTCTGTATTTTCCCATGAAGGATACAGCGAAACCTTTGAAGGCAAGCGTGGTTCTACACCATGACTCTCCATCTTTAAGCATGGTTTTACCCTTCAAAAATGCTTCCTTTTCATGAGCGGTTTCCCCTGAAGCAAGTCTGGAAAAAAAATGGTGAGGCAAGTGATGAACTATTAGGAGGGATTGCCAATGATGAGAAAATCTGTAAAAGGGCACTGAAACTACCAAAATGGCCGAACTGGGTATTGGGAACACTCCGGTGGATTCATTCCATGATGCAACAGAACATCACCAATTGCTGCAGGAATATCTATTCATCGACGAGGAATTTCTATTTGAATGTCTGTTTGCTATTGGAAAGCCTTTAAACTTCAGCTTGTGTCAGCTTGATCGGCGAAACAATGCACAACGCATAGTCCAATACTATCCCATCCTGCCGGTTACCTTCTCCGCGGAGTGTGGATGGGACTCTCTTGCTGGTCGAGATCCGAAGGGCTCGCAAGGCGAGATGCACCACCTTTGTTGCGGAATGAATGCTATCATCAAATAATACCATCCTGAGCGTAAACACCCCCCAGAAACCGGGTTTAATAGGTATTTGCAGATCTACACACAATATAATATATCATCATATATAATCATATATACATATACATATAATTGTTATATTGTATGTTTATATTATGGAATTATATAATTATACATATTAATTATATATATATATATGTATGTATGTATTTGGGACCATCTAGAGTCTAGAGTCTAGAGGGTGCTTTTAATATTAGGGAATGTACCACCTGACCCGGCAATGGCATCCATGGCAGCACCCCACCTCGTATTCACGGCTTGCCAGAAGAGTCTTGAAGGCATCCTCCTGGGTGAGGAGACATTGGAGTGTCCATAATGTGATAAACTCCAATGATGAACCTCTATTATCATCTATTATCGTCTATTATCATCTATTATCATCTATTATAATCTGTTATCATCTATTATCATCTATTAGCATCTATTAGCATCTATTATCCATGATTATCCTCTATTATCCTCTATTGAGGATGGTTTATTATTGGGTTCACATTACAATTCATGGCAACTGAGTGCAACCAGGTGTCATGGCAATCCAAGCTGGCGGTCACGGAAGGCTGATGCCCGCCAGGTTCACTTTCAGGACCATGGCACATGCTATGCCATGCTCTCAGGCCCGTTGGTTTCATGCCTTGAGGCTGGAATAGGCTGGAAGATACCCAGGATGCCAGTGGCCAGGTATTTTATGTCTGCTCGGACGTTTCTATTCCATTGTTGGCAAACAATATATCGCTTCAACATCTTCAATGTCAATACCTGCGCCTGCGCGGAGTATATAATACGATCACCCATATGCAGATAAAGCCATATAAACAGTCAAAAACACATGTAAACAAAATTAAACAAGCAAAGTGAAAGAACAATTTAAGCGAACGTTGGCACACAAATAGATGTGCCCTGGTCGAAACATGGTGTATGGATGATGTATATTAGGGGTTTCTGCACGTTTCTGCACCATCCTCCAGCCATCCTCCCCTGAAGAGGGCAAGTGGCTCTGCAACGTCTTGCAGATTCCCCGCCAGTGTTGCATGAGCTCTCTGGTGTTTGCCTTGGTGTCCATGCAGCAACTACCAGCGCCCGACTCGGACCATGTGTTCTGAACAACCGCAGGCTATTGGTAGTCATCTGCTTGTCTATTCCATCTCCGTGATGCACCTTATCGCAACCCCCATCTGATCAAATGCATGACTGACCCTTAGGATAGATAGCTGGCATGCGGATGTGGACCGAAGTGCGGCCCATGCATTCCCCCAAACACTTCAGGAAACCAAGGCTCGTTCACATCCGCTGCCCACACCGGCAGGTCTTTCCAATGTGGTCTGGTTGCTGTCTCAACCTCCACCAGGTTGGATGCAGGCCCAATTCCGCGGGAAATATTGAGGGAACCTTCTGTCCCCACCTGATCTGGATAAGTTATCATGTAAACTATCATAAACCATCATAAATTATACTACTTCAGTAACCTGAAGCAATCTTTGCGATAGTTACCCATACCCCAATCCCACGCATCCAGTGACCTGGCAGTGAACCTTTGCTTCGGGGTGAGGCTCCTTGCTGGTGCAGCCTCAGCACTCAGGGATCCCCAAGTCACCATGGGGTTCAATACTAAAATGGTGGAATTTGGATGATTTGGGGGTACCCCCAGTTTAGGAATCCTCTACAGTATGGAGTGATGGTTATTAAGCGTTTTTGCGTGTTGTCACTAAAATGGCTGGAACATGCTAGAACATGCTGGAAAATAAGTCAATTCCTACGTAGGGATAAATGTCTAAGTGCGTTTAGAGCCCTTGTTGATCAGACACATTCTCACTTAACGACAAGAGAGCACCAAAAAAAGGTGAACCACCTTTCTGAGAGGTGAGATCTTGAATGATCTTGAAACAATAACCTCTGCGCAGTTGACATATGAGTATGAGCATTAAAAAAGTCTGGCTTCCTACTTCAAGCATCCATCGTGACTTTTTCTTCTCCAGCCGTCAGCCCAGAAGGTATGACCGCAGGCAGGATGCTTCCCATCTGAATGTCGTGCTGATGAGGACCGCAATCAGATTGGCTGCCGATGCTTGGGACTTCAGGAGACTGGTCGTGATCTGCCTGGGATTTGCCAAGAAATCATAGAGCAGTGGGTTCCATATGGTTCCATTTCATTCCCCATCGCCAAATGGTGGATTAGCCTGTGGAAATCTGTGGAACAACGAGAAATCACCAACATAAATCATCATAAATCCAAGTTTCCCATTGAAGCTGCACAGCAGGGCTTTCCTCCCTCCGATTCGATGCCGGAGCGGCCAGCGGAGGCGAGGGCGAATCAAGACTTGGGGATGGCTCCAGACCTCCTTGATCACATTGGAGTCGAACTTCCACATCGCCTGACCAGGGTGGTTTCAGCAGGTTATGAGATCTATGGATAGCTATGGTTCATTATGGTTCATGTCAAATTCAATGAGTCGCCACCTGAATTCATTTTCGAAAAAAGGTCAAACAAAACAATTTGATAACCAACCAATCCACTTTTTCCAAGTCAGTTTAGGTGGGATTATCATCCCAAATAAGGGTGGAAAATCGATGACTAGTTGAAACATCATCCAAACTACCAACCAAACAACGAAACCAAACCAAACCTAAAAGTTTCACAAGAATACACGAAGTCACTGACCGATTTGTAGCCCGCATGCTCCAAACTGAGAGCTGTCACGGCTCTGGCAGCCAAAGACTTCAGAACAGGTAAAATGTCACTGCTGTGGTGGGACGCATTGGCCAAATTTCCAGCTCCTTAGGCACGGAACTACCACGCAAATTATGCTGGAGGGATAGGTAGATTCGATTGGCAAAGGTAACTCAGGGTGACCTTTGCTGCGCCAGATTCTTGAGAAACTCTTTAGTTTGAAGGCTCTTCTTGTGCTGATATATGCTGATATCTTAGAAATGGGAAACTATAACTATAGGATTTTGAAGGTTTTTTCTGCTGGGCCCTCACCATGAGTCATGCCATGCTTTTGACTTTTGACGTCGAGGAACCGCTCCATTCCATGGCCGAATCTCCGACGCTGATTCGCAGACCTGCTGCAGTGCTGCAGCGACTTTGTTGACCTCAAAATGGATGCCACATGATGCCACAAATGGGGGGTACCCAAATGTGTGGCCATTGGATATGCAGTGATGATCATTAAACCATATGAAAAACTGGCTGATTTGGGGAGTACCCTATTTTCAAACAAACACAAAGGTAGGGCCCCACCATAATGGCGTTGTTTTCGTCCGACTGAGCCCCCAAGAATGCGCCTTTGCTCCAAGCCTTCCGACTTTAGAGCTACAATTCAAGATTGAAAGTCCCCACAAAATCCCACACATTCGAACATGTGGTAGGTACTGAATAAAATCAAACAGCCAAGCAATCGGTAGGGGAAACCCCCCAGTTTGGTCACTTCAGTAGGTGTTAGCGTTTCGACTCATTCATACTCGGGTCCAAATTGCCTAAAATGCACTGGAAAATATCTTTTGGACTCTCGGAAACTGACACTCCTGATCACTCCTGCTGCTGGCCCAACCCTTTAGCTGTTTCATCTATTCTGCTGACGTCCATTAGGCGCGCGTACTGATAATTACTCATGCTCCTGCCACTGTTGTCCGTATGCCAGCCCGGTCGGCCCCACCACGCAAACCTGGCACTGGCTGATTTTGCACCTATTATTGATGACTGCTACTGCCACTGCCAGTCAGTACCAGCCTTACTATTTTCTTTTCTTGCCAGGAAAGAGCACAGACTCAGGGCAGGTTCGTTCAAGATCTGTAGACTTAGTGTTTCGCCAGGATTTTCCTCATGTCTGCTTCCCTTCCCAGCCCAAATAGGCTGCAACTTAGCAACGCAGCTGCCGTGCGGAGCTGTCTGAAAGATCCGACAAGACTTCCATCAGTTCCGCCAAGCTATCCAGTCCCTCTGGACAGTGGGTGCTCACCTGCCAACGAATGCCAATGGTTTTCTGCAAACATGACCGTCCGGTGCTCGAACATGGCTGCCTGGGAAATGCCCGGAATAAATGAGCATCTCTCCATCATTTTCTATCTATATACGCAAAGTATCAGCGGGGAAGCGTGAGCAACATCACTTAGCTGGCGTCTTATTCATCAACCTCTAATATCTGCCTGCAGTGCAAAGGAGGAACTGGCCGCCGGAATTCCACCTGCAGCTGCTGCACGACAGATTTTCATTTGATGCCGAGGTATATTTTTTGGGATGGTCACGGGAGATGGAGTCTGTAGAGATGGGATGAATTGGGATGATACATTGGTATACAGTATACAGTCTACATCAATAATCATACAGGGTATGGACGTCTATGCATTTCCTGTTTGCTCACATTGGTGGGGGAACGTGATCCAAGCATTGATTCCAAACATCCCGAGTGAACTGAACCACCTTGCCAGCCTCAACCTATGGCAATGCCCCTGGCTGGCCACGGCAACTGAGCCCTGGACCCAGGCAGTGCTTCGCCTTCTTCCGTGGAGGACTGACCCCCTCGGTCCGAGCCGCCTGCGCAGCGACTGCGGCGTCATGCGATGGCCTCGGCAGCTTTCTGGTGACAGCCCTGGTCTGAAAGGATCGAGGATCATCATCGCAGGGTCGCAGGCCTGGAAATCTATGGACATAATCATATAGATTTATGGATCATTATGTCATCAGAATAATAGATAATTATGTCATCTGGAAATCTGGATATATTATAATTATATAATATATAGTTTCAGATGTACAATTTGACATTGGTACTGCATCATGATGTGCCAACCATTTGGTGTTTCTAAGCTTGGAGCGGATGCGGAGCTGGCTTGCTAGGAGCTGCTTGCTCCACTTGTGGGGACTCATCCGTGATGATTTCATCAGAACAACCTGAAAGCATCGCTTTGATCCCATACATTCATTACTGTGGTAAACCCAACGCACCCCAACGCCATAAACATCCATAAACCATCCCTAATATTACCATCAATGGGTGGTAACTATATATGTAACTATCATCCCCAAATGGATGGTTTATTATTGGGTTTACATGGGTTTACCACATTGTTGGCTTTGACAGTTCCAAACAGTGGGCATCATTTGAGAGCCAAGAGTCGGTCTGGTGTGGCCGCTTCCTCCCTTAGAGCGCCGTGCAGCTTGGGGAGAGGCGACAGCACAAAGGAAAAAACATATCTCTCTCTCCATCGCCCTCTCCGGGAGTTCAGCTAACGAGAGATATAACGAGAATCAGAAATACAGCTGCTAGGGAAGAACCTCTAAGCCGTTGCGACAGCAGCATGGTAACATCTGAATATATATATATCTGTATTTATATACTAGGTGAACACAAATAAAGAAATGCATCCATGCAGGTGTTTCCACACCCTTTTTGTCATCGCAAAGACTGATCTGGCGACACTTCCACCGTGGTCACTGGTTGCTCCCCACGGAGTTCTTCCACATAGCGCAGGTGTTGATCAAGTTGCTGCAGGAAATGCAGCGATGCCTCGACATTTCGATATAGAAAACCCACATTGGGCCGGTGGGCATGGGCCTGGAAGGCAGCTGGTGAAGCTCCCTTGAAGAAATTGCACATGACCATCCGGGCATAATCCACGAAGGCTAAGCGATAGAGATGCCATGCTTGGTCAAAAGTGAAGGCATCCAAGCGTGGCTTGGGCAACCGTTGTTCCAACGCCCTGGGAGATCTGAGCATTTTTCATGCTGGGGGATCATGTGCACAAAGGCGATGTACAAAGCCCTAAAATCTACTGGTTTATCATGGTTTATCATCATTTTCCCAAATTGTAATCCCTTGTTTCAAACCAATTTTTAGACGAACCCATAGTGTACCAAAAGCTGTCTGTAGTCAAATCACAAAACCAACTCTTGCCTTATCAGGTCGTTGTAATACATCTTCACCAGTTTCTCCTCCCCGCCGTCCCTCAGGGCAGCATCATGAACAGAATGTGGCAAGTGCATAGCCACATCTGCCACACCGTAGCCCACACCGGTCCATTGAAAGTCGATGATCAGAGCCTCGATTGAGGTTTCACTTGAACAAATGCCATATATTTCTGTACAAAATCGCGCAGGTAGACACAAACTATATGACTACATGTGTTCATAAGTGAGGATCATCCATCATCCCCAAATATCCCAAATGTGGTCATATGCACATAAAACATCATAAAACATGTTTGAAGCCAAGCCTTGCTGTTTTCCGCCATGATTGTAGGTAGGAACATGTTCATAGCCTTGGGATCACCATGCATCAAGGTGGCGAAGTCCTCTTCCGCAGACGGCCTCAGCTGCTCCGCGACCCAAACGGCCGTGCGCTCCAACCGCTCTGCCAGCATCCGGATGGAAGGCTGGGCCAAAAAGTCTGGGGCATGCGATTGGAAAGCTTCCTGCTGGCGGAGAACATCATAGAAAATCCAATGCTACATTCACATACATACATACATACATACATACATGCATGCATGCATACATACATACATGCATACATACATACATACACACACACACATACATATATATATATATATATCTGTGTATGTATGGATGTAACGTAGTGCTATGCAATGCAATGCAACGCAATGCAATGTAGTGTATGTCTGTGTGTATGTACAGAATGTAATGTAATGTAATGTAATGGTATGGTATGGTATGGTATGTATGGTATGTATGGTATGTATGGTATGTATGGTATGTGTGGTATGTGTGGTATGTATGGTATGTATGGTATGTATAATAGGTATGGTATGGTATGGCATGGTATGGTACGGTATGGTACGGTATGGTACGGTAGGGTACGGTAGGGTACGGTACGGTACGGTATGGTATGTCTGTATGTCTGTCTGTCTGCCTGTCTGGTCTGTCTGGTCTGTTTGGTCTGTCTGGGCTGGTCTGGTCTGGTCTGGTCGGTCTGGTCTGGTCTGGTCTGGGCTGGTCTGGGCTGGGCTGTGGTCTGGTCTGGTCTGGTCTGTCTGTGTGTATGTATGTATGCATGCATGTATGCATGTCTGTGTGTGTATGTCTGTGTCTGTATGTGTGTATGTGTGTGTCTGTATGTGTGTATGTGTGTCTGTGTGTCTGTGTGTCTGTCTCTGTCTGTATGTATGTATGTATCTATCTATCTATGTATCTATGTATGTATCTTTGTTCTTATGTATGTATGTATGTATGAATGTATGTATCTTTGCTCTTATGTATGTATGTATGAATGTATGTATCTTTGTTCTTTTGTATGTATGTATGTATGTATGCAATTAATGTTATGCAATTAATGTTATGTAATTAATGTTATGTAATTAATGTTATGTATGTAATGTTATGTATGTAATGTTATGTTATGTAATGTAATGTAATGTATGTATGTATGTAATGTGATGTATGTAATGTGATGTATGTAATGTGATGTATGTAATGTGATGTATGTAATGTGATGTATGTAATGTGATGTATGTAATGTGATGTACGTAATGTGATATATGTAATGTGATGTATGTAATGTGATGTATGTAATGTAATGCAATGTAATGTACTGTAATGTAATGTTATGTATGTAATGTTATGTATGTAATGTAATGTCATGTCATGTCATGTCACGTTATGAAATGTTATGCATGTAATTAACATTATGTATGTAATTAATGTTATGTATGTAATTAATGTTATGCATGTAATTAATGTTATGCATGTATGCATGTATGTATGTATGTATGTATGCATGCATGTATGTATGTATGTGTGTAGGTATGTAGGTAATTATGTAGGTATGTAGGTATGTAGGTAGGTAGGTAGATAGGTAGGTAGGTGGTAGGTAGGTATGTATGTATGTTATACCAATATTCAAGACCTCCACAATGGGACTTCGACATGATTACGCACCCACATCTAAACCAGAGTTTCTGGGGGGCTAATTAATACTCCGGGAAAGGGATTGTACAACAGCAATCGTGCAACATCAACAAAATAAAAGATATTTGAAACCACCGGCTAGCTTCCAAATAATTCTTCCAAATGGGCTTCAACTGCTGCAGTTCCGCCCTGCCACGTCGATCCAGCATCCAGTAACTGCCGGTGGCATACAACCGATTGGATGCCTTGTGAAGTAGGTCCCGGTCCTCCCAAGCTGCTGCATGGAAGTTTGCCAGCAAGGACAAACTGAGGGCTGCTTGGTCGAATGACAATGGCGATGTTTGCATAAAGCCCTCGTCAGCACACTCCAGTAGCAAAAGCATGCCACCTTCGCGCAAATGTTCTTCCTCGTCTCCATCAATTTTGGTGTCCAAACATGAGAAGTCCTCCTGCACCAAAGGAGCCTGCAGTAAGGGAACGCCCCTTGCACGCATCTCTGCAGAAAACTCTTGATAGAAACGAGCCTCATTGCGATTAGAGCTCAAATCACGACGAAGTGCTTGAGCACTCTTCGCCGGCATATCTCTGGCGATGACTTTCTTCAGGTAGAGGTACACGGGTTGCTTCATCCCCACTAAGTCCAGTTGCAGTTGTGCAGACTGAGACTGTGGCCAAAATTTCTCCGTACCCAGCACCACCTGCAGTGAAGCTACATCGTTGGATGGCAGTGGCTGTTGTCCCTTTTGGGCAGCTTGCTGGAGCACGGAGGATAACCAGTCGGGGTTGAGGTGTTTCCCATGTAGACCTTCCAGGGTTTCAAGGGGGGCCAAAGGTTGATTATCAAGTCGCGCATGACATGGAACCCAAGGTTCCCAAAATCCCAAAAAGAGACATTCAATGGTAGTGAGAACTATACAAAAGTTTGGCCTTAGACTTCCAATTCATGAATCTGTATGGATGTAACCAGCCACAACCAACCCTGCCTTCCAGCAGCCTCTCATGTTCGCTGGCGCTTGGGGTGACCAAGGCCGAAAAATGTCGGGTCAGCTGCCGGACGCACAGCATCAAGATCAGCAGCCAGAGTCCGATGGACCCGAGCCGCCCCACACCCATGACTCTGAACATATGAGCTGCGACACAGCGATGAACAAATGTGCAAGCTTGAAAACTTGCATTGAATGGATGGATTTCAGGGATATCTTTGCATGAAACCATCATGTCTACATGTCTTTTACCCCAAACTGTTGGGGTTTTCTCTGCAGGTTCCCTTAAACATCCTTAAGCCCTTTCTGCAATGCAAGGCTTTGACGCTATTGGACATTTGCAGGGTCTGATTGCGGAGACGTAAATGATGGAGCTGACCATCCGAAGTTCCACATCGACTCTGGGAAAGGCCAGCGGCCAGGGAACATGGCGAGAAAAGTCAGGTATGGTAAATGTCTAAAACAACAGTTCAAAACATGATGCATCCACAATCCATGCAAAGGTCGTGATAAGGCTCAAGGGCCCTCGGTCACCAGATCAACCCAAGGACGGCTGGCAGTAGTCAGATGAATTACATGCACATTTGAACCGTACCAGAAACCATCAAGAGAAAGGAGAACCACACCTAAAGGCATGTCCTTTGCCTTCATCACATGAAGCATGAATGACATAAAGTCTGTCTCTTGAGCATCACCGACAAAAGAAAGTTGTTGGCGGAGCTTCAGGCTACTGACATCCTGCAAATCACTGAAAAACGAGTGAAGCCACACGGCGGCCAGTTGTTCAAAACGTCGACAGTCGACAGGGTGAAAAACGAAATAAGGCCAGCTGTTGCACTTTACTTAAACGAATTACTAGGTTGAAAATTGTAAATTCAGAGATCAAGTCGTTGCTTCGCCCTCCTGCTCAGACAAGCATTCCCCGCGGGGTTCATGCCACCGTGACGAATCCAGCATGAATCACACACTGAATCTTTGCGAATTCTGATGTGGAATGCATCCTACGTGCAAAAACAATCCATTTATACTTGACAGGGAAAAAGTTGAAGATCAGATCCAAGAAGGATCGAGAGGAATGTATTTCAAGGCCGCTGCTAGATGCAACATTTCCATCTGAACCAAGTCATTACCTCCCTGACATCAAGTTTGGTTTTGAAAACTGTTTGAAAAACGACATGCCGGTTCTTGGCTTAGCCGGTTGCCATTGACGAGGCGTCCCAATCTGTATCACCAGATCAAATGGGTGTCTTCGTTGGTAGCGGTCCCAAGTGATCCGCCGCTACCCCCTGCCTTTGAAGACTGGAAAATTAGAAGTTTTACATCTGTTCAGATGGTTCACAGACACAAATAATATATATATATATACAGTCACATACATACAGTCACATACATACATACATACATACATACATACCATAACATAACATAACATAATATTAGATTACATTAAATTACATTACATTCAGGTTGTGCTTACCTGGCGGTTTGGGTTGGTGGTTTGGAAGTCTGGGAATTCATGATTTTATGAACTTACCGAATTAAATTTTATCAAAACCTGAAAAAATAGATTAGTTATGCCAGTCATTCATTCAATCAGTATTTCATGCATTCATTCTTTGATTGATACATTCATTTCATTCCATGTCATCCATGTCATTCATGTCATTCATGTCATTCATTCATTCATTCATTCATTCATTCACTCATTTCATGTCATTTCTTCATTACATTCCATTCCATTCCATTGCATTCAGTCATTCATTCATTCATTCATTCAATCAATCAATCATTCTTTCATTCCATTCAGTCATTCATTTATTCATTCATTCAATCATTCATTCATTCATTTCATTCAGTTCATTTCATTCTATTCCATTTCATTCCATTCAGTCATTCATTGAGTGAGTTATTCATTTATTCATTTCTTTTCATTCACCCACTCACTCACTCACATTCACTCATTCATTCATTTCATTCCATTCCATTCCATTCAGTCATTCAGTCATTCAGTCATTCAATCATTCAGTCATTCATTCATTTCAGTTGTTTTTTCATTCATTCATTCATTCATTCATTCATTCATTCATGTCATTCATGTTATTTAGTCATTCATTCATTCATTCCTTCATTCATGTTATTTAGTCAGTCATCCATTCATTCATTCATTCAATCAAGCAATCAATCAATTCATTTCATTCATTGTATTCATTTTATTCATTTCATTTTTTCTTTCATTCATTTCATTCATTTCATGCTGTTCATTTCAGTTCATTCATTTCATTCAGTTCATTCATTTCATTCATGTCATCCATTCATTCATTTCATTCATTCTTTCATTCATTCATGCATCCATCCATCCATTCATTCATCACTTCACTCAATTCATTCTTTTGATTCCATTCATTCCATTCATGCTGTTCATTTCATTTATTTCATACATTTCATTCATTTGATCCATTTCATTCATTTGATTCATTTCATTCCTTTCATTCATTACTGTCATTCCTTTCATTCATTTCAGTTGTTTTTTCATTCATTCATTCATTCATTCATTTCATTTCATTCATTCATTCATTCATTCATGTCATTCATGTCATTCATGTCATTCATGTCATTCATTCATTCATTCATTCATCCTTTCTTTCTTTCTTTATTTCTTTCATTTCATATCATTTCATTTCATTTAATTTAATATAATTTCATTTCATTTCATTTCATTCATTTCATTCATGTCATTCATTCATTCATTTTTTTCATTTCATTCATTTCATTCATTCCATTCATCTCATTCATTTCATTCATTTCATGCTGCTAATTTCAGATCATTCATTTCATTTCATTTCATTTCATTTCAAATTTCATTTCAAATTTCATTTCATATAATTCATTTCATTCATTTCATTCATATCATTCATTCATTCATTCATCCTTTCTTTCTTTCTTTATTTCTTTCATTTCATTTCATTTCATTTTCATTTCATTTCATTTCATTTCATTTCACCCATGTCATTCATTTCATTCATTCCATTCATTTCACTCATTTCATTCATTCATTCATTCATTTCATTTCATTCATCTCATTCATTTCATGCTGCTAATTTCAGATCATTCATTTCATTTCATTTCATTTCAAATTTCATTTCATATAATTCATTTCATTCATTTCATTCATATCATTCATTCATTCATTCATCCTTTCTTTCTTTCTTTCTTTATTTCTTTCATTTCATTTCATTTTCATTTCATTTCATTTCACACATGTCATTCATTTCATTCATTTCATTCATTCCATTCATTTCACTCATTTCATTCATTCATTCATTCATTCATTTCATTTCATTTCATTCATTCATTCATTTCATTTCATTTCATTCATTTCATTCATTCATTCATTCATTCATTCATGTCATTCATGTCATTCATGTCATTCATTCATTCATTCATTCATCCTTTCATTCATTCATGTCATTCATGTCATTCATGTCATTCATTCATTCATTCATCCTTTCTTTCTTTCTTTCTTCCTTTATTTCTTTCATTTCATTTCATTTCATTTAATTTAATATAATTTCATTTCATTTCATTCATTTCATTCATGTCATTCATTCATTCATTTTTTTCATTTCATTCATTTCATTCATTCCATTCATCTCATTCATTTCATTCATTTAATTTCAGTTCATTCATTTCATTTCATTTCATTTCAAATTTCATTTAATATAATTCATTTCATTCATTTCATTCATATCATTCATTCATTCATTCATCCTTTCTTTCTTTCTTTCTTTATTTCTTTCATTTCATTTCATTTCATTTTCATTTCATTTCATTTCATTTCATTTCATTTCATTTCACTCATGTCATTCATTTCATTCATTTCATTCATTCCATTCATTTCACTCATTTCATTCATTCATTCATTTCATTTCATTCATTCATTCATTCATCCATTCATCCATTCATTCATTCATTCATCCATGCATTCATTCATCCGTTCATTCATTCGTTCATTCATTCATTCATTCATTCGTTCATTCATTCATTTCATTCAGTTCATTTCATTCTATTCCATTTCATTCATTTCAGTCATTCATTGATTGAGTTATTCATTTAATCATTTCTTTTTATTCACTCACTCACTCACATTCACTCATTCATTCATGTCATTCCATTCCATTCCATTCCATTTCATTCCATTCAGTCAGTCATTCATTCATTCATTCACTCATTCATTCATTCCATTCCGTTCCGTTCCGTTCCGATCCATTCCATTCCATTCCATTCCATTCATTCATTCAGTCAGTCAGTCAGTCATTTCATTGCATTCATTCATGCAATCATTTATTTCACTTCATTTATTTTCATTTCATTTCGTTCCTTCATTCATTCATTCAGTCTTTCTTTCTTTCTTTCTTTCTTCGTTTCATTTCATGTCATTTCATTTCATTTCATTTCATTTGACTCATGACATTCATTTCATTCATTTCATTCATTCCATTCATTTCACTCATTTCATTTCTTCCTTTACTCATTCATTCATTCATTCATCCATTCATCCATTCTTTCATTCATTCATCCATTCATTCATCCGTTCATTCATTCATTCGTTCATTTATTCTTTCATTCTTTCATTCTTTCATTCTTTCATTATTTCATTTTATTCATTTCATTCATGCCATTCATCTCATTCATTCATTCATTCAGTCAGTCAGTCAGTCATTTCATTGCATTCATTCATGCATTCATTTATTTCACTTCATTTATTTTAATTTGATTTCATTTCATTCATTCATTCATTCAGTCTTTCTTTCTTTCTTTCTTTCATTCATTCATTCATTCATTTCATTCATTTCATTCATTTCATTCATTTCATTCATTTCATTTCATTTCATTTCATTTCATTTCATGTGTTCATTCATTCAGTTAGTTCATCTCATTCATGTCATTCCTTTACTACATTTCATTGTTTGTGTCATTCACTCATGTCCTTTGCGTTCATTTCATTTCATTTCGGGTCTATTTATTTAATGTTCATCATTTCATTCATTCACTCATGTGATTTCATTTATTTCATTCATTCATTTTCATTCATTCAGTTCATTCATTCCATTCATTCCATTCATTCCATTT